AAGACCCCATCTTCAGAAAAAATTTAAAAATTAAAAAAATTAGCTGGGCATGGTGCCACACACCTGTAGTCCCAGCTAGTCAGGAAGCTGGGGTGGGAGGATCACTTGAGCCCAGGAGGTTGAGGCTGCAGTGAGCTGTGATTGTGCCACTGCACTCCAGCCTGGGTGACAGAGCAAGACTCCGTCTTTAAAAATAATAATAAATTTTTTAACTTTTAAAAAAATGGCTTAATATTTGCATATAACCTACATGCATCCCCCTGTGTACTTTAAATCATCTCTGGATTACTTGTAAAATCGAATACAATGTAAATTATATGTAAATAGTTGTTACACTGTATTGTTGTTAAATTTGTATTATTTTTAGTGTTGTATTGTTATTTTTTAATTGCTTTTTTCCCCCAAATGGTTTCCCTCTGGGGCTGGTGGAATCCACAGATGCAGAACCCACGGCTGCAGAGGGCTGACTGTAATTGGTTAGAGGAAGGGCTGCCCCAGTCTCCGCTTTCTCCACCACCCCAGAAGGCATTGGCCTTGGGCTGAGCTGGTTCGGCGGACTTCAGACCCCAGCCTCTCCCCATGGACCTGGCTGCTGGCCTCTGCCCAACCCTGCCTGCCAGCTCTTCCTAGACAGAAAGCCACACTTTCCTTCCCACAGGAGCAGAGCAGAAGCCTTCTCTACCTCCTCCAAGCCCCTCACCACCCCTTGCCCTGTTTCCAAGGGGCTCCCTTAAGACCAGCCTCCCATGTCTTCCTGGCCAGACGCCCAGCTCTCAGCAGCAGCCTCAAAGTTTATCTCCTCATATTGTGTCTCTCCTGTTTATCTTCTCCCAGGCATGAATACAAAATCCTTTCTCTCCTCCACTTGCTACCTCAGTCTTATTCCATCATCTGGCTGCTACATACTTCTCAGTTACTGTTTTCTGAAGACTTAAAATCTTCGTCCTCCTGCCTGGTCACTCCTGCAGTGCAAGTCCGTGAAAAGAGCACAGGGCTTTGAAGCCAACTGGAGCTGGGTTTAATCCCAGCTCCGCAATGACCAGCTGCATGACCTTGGGCAAGTCAATTAACCTCCCTGAGCCTGGATTGTTTATCTGCCTGGAATTATGGCGACAATCTTATTTGCTTTCGCAGTGGGTCTCCCCACTAGGAGGAAACCTGGCTTGGTTTATTTGTTTTCTTGAGGGGTAGGAACTTTGAGAAGCCCTTGGAGGTAGAGGAAAGAGTCCCCCACCTCCGGCCGCACAAGGAGCCTGCTTGCAAGAACTGGTGGTGGCTGCCTGTGGCCAACGACAAACTTTTGTTGTGTGGCTGCAGTGAGCAGGTTGGGGGAAGAGCTGCATGCTTGGAAAAATGGAGGGGATTTTTTGATGTTTGGTGCAGGGGAAGAAAAGGAGAGATGAACCCACTGATGAAGGAGAGGGGGCCGGCTGCCTGCCCCCCGAGACATCACGCCCAAACTGTCTGAAACAGACTGATCATCTCCCCTCCAGCCCCTTCCCCTTCTTCCCCATCTTAGCGAGACCACTGTTCACCCCATCCCAAGCCAAAGGACAGCCAAGGGATCTCCCAGGTCAGGGGCCCTCTGACCATCTGACCCCTTCTCAGAATAATGTTTTCCACTAGATAAAATGAAATACACAGTATAGAAGAAATCAGTTACATTGAAATACGGTTAGCAATATAGTCAAACAAACTTTTATAGGAATTTATGTGCCATTTTGTTAACATATGAAATGAGATTTGGTGGAAGCTCTAATAAGTATCATACTTTTTTTTTTTTTTTTGAGACAGAGTCTTGCACTGTTCCCCAGGCTGGAGTGCAGTGGTGCGATCTCGGCTCACTGCAACCTCCACCTCCTGGGTTCAAGCGATTCTCCTGCCTCAGCCTCCTGAGTAGCTGGGGTTACAGGTGCGCACCACCATGCCCAGCTAATTTTTGTATTTTTAGTAGAAACTGGGTTTCGCCATGTTAGTCAGGCTGGTCTCGAACTCCCGACCTCGTGATCCGCCCTCCTCGGCCTCCCAAAGTGCTGGGATTACAGGCATGAGCCACTGTACCCGACCAAGTAACATACTTTTGAAGGAGTGCATTTTGAGGTAACTGCAGCTGTGGTGAGATTTCATGAAAAGTGTGGATGACTATTGGTGACTATGTCATGGGTCTCATTCCCACTACTGTGATTTGTTGGAGAAAGTGCTAAATTACAGTTAATTTTATGTTAGAAAAATAAAGATGTTATTTCCCCCAACTAGGTTCATGGACCTCCTAATTCTGTGCACTCCAAGCTGGAAACCCTTGACCTTGACTCTATTTTCCCCTAACCACCCACTCCCACCCGCCTCTCCTAACCAGTCCCCAAGCCCCACTGACTTTACCTCCTGCACGGTGGACTTGTCCCTGTCCTCACCCATTCTCCACTTGGGCCTTGTTGCTTTATATCAATATGACTCCCGCTGCCTCCTGGCTGGCCTTGTTACCTCCGTTCTTGCTCGACTTCATCTGTGCTCCACCCTGAACCCAGAGAGATCATCCCTAATATGGTTTGGCTGTGTCCCCACCCAAATCTCATCTTGAACTGTAGTTCCCATAATTCCCACGTGTCATGGGAGGGACCCAGTGGGAGGTAATGGAATCATGGGGGCAGGTCTTTCTCATGCTGTTCTCCTGATAGTGAGTCTCATGAGAGCTGATGGTTTTATGAAGGGCAGTTCCCCTGCACACACTCTCTTGCCTGCCGCCATGTAAGACATGACTTTGCTCCTCATTTGCCTTCAACCACGATTGTGAGGCCTCCCCAGCCATGTGGATCTGTGAGTCCATTAAACTTCTCTATAAATTACCCAGTCTCGGGTATGTCTTTATTAGCAGTGTGAAATGGACTAATACAATCCCCAAATGCAAACCTGACCATGTTGCCCCTTGCTCCACACTCTTCAGTGGCTCCTTATTGCCTATATGGTAAAATCCAAAGACCTCTATAAAGCACTGACACCCTCACAAACCTCTCCAGCTTCATCTCTCAACATACGTCCTCTCCCTACTCCCAGTCTTCCCACCATTCTGAGCTATGTGAAGTTCCCAGAATATGCTGCATCATCAGGCCTTTGCTTACGCTGTCCACTCCACCTGGAATGCCCTCCTCAAGTTGTCCAACAAGCAGACTCTTACTTATTTTCCAAGTCTCACTCAAACGTTGCCTTCCCCGTGCCAACCCCACTCATCCCCACTCCCTGGGCAAATGTGGGTGCCCCTCCCACAGGGCTGTTAACACACCCAGTCCATAGAAGTCAACATGCCATGCTAGAATCATCTGATGAGTACATCTCTCCACAAGATCGCAAACTTGGCCAACCGTGGTTGCTTATGCCTGTAATCCCAGTGCTTTGAGAGGCTGAAGCAGGAGGATTACTTGAGCCTGGGAGTTGGAGACTAGCCTGGGCAACATAGCAAGACCCTATCTCTACCAGAAAAAAAATTTTTTTTAGTTAGCTGAGCGTGGTGGGGGGGATGGGAGTTGCCTATAATCTCAGTTACTCAGGAGGCTAAGATGGAAGTATCGCTTGAGCCCTGAAGGTTAAGGCTGCAGTGAGCCATGATTGCACCACTGCTCTCCAGCCTAGGCAACAAAGCAAGACCTATTTCAAAAAAAAAAAAAAGAGATTGAGAGAGAGAGAGAGAGAGAAAGGCTTTATGAGGGCAAGGACTAAGTCTTTTTCCTTAAACTCCCCCAAACAAGCACAGTGCCCAGTTAGGCCTTTAGTGAATGTTGGTTGAGTAAATAAATAAAAGATGGAGGGGAAAAAAGAATAAACAAGCTCTCCATCCTTGGACTGCTGAGGATGGGGTGCACGGGGATGGTGTGCTTGGAGGCCGAATCCCACGTTGTCTGTGTGTGGTGACAACTGTTCTATTTTTCCTCTTTTCTTTACTATGATGATTGGATTTCCCACATCCTGGGGATGACAGATTGGCACATTTTGATCTATGGCGTGTGCTCTGATTTCTTGAATGCAGCTCTATTCTTTGCAAGATCCCTCCGTCAAATGTACATACCTCAATTAGGAGAGATTGCTTCCCTTACCAAGAGGCTCATCATTTTGGTTTCATTAAATAGAGAGTTCTTCCAATGCGTGAAGAATAGGATTAAATTTATAGAAATTCAATTTACACTCAGCCTTTTAGGAACAAATGTCTCACACAGCCAAGCCACTGCTCTGTCTGCCAGGCCTCCTGACGTTCTAGTTTCTAGGCTTCCTTTATTCCCTTCCTGCGTAATCCCAGCTTAACCCCTGATGACCTGGATCCGCTGCAGCGACCCTGGGCACCTGCCCACCAAATCTAAGTGTTTGCTTGGAATCATCTGTCTCCATCTTCCTGAGTCCTATGAAGCAGTTGACGGTCCCATTCTTCCTGAAACCCTCAAAATCCCTGGCTCTGTGGCCTTTCCCCACAATCCCTGCCCAGCACACCCTTGCCCTTGAGTTTCTGGATGTGTTTGACCATTCAACTTCCAACGCAGCCTCTCCACATGGAGTTCTCAAAGCCAGATGAGCTCAGGAAGAGGAGTGATGTGCCGTCCACCCCAAAGCGGCTTCTCTTTTATATCCCAGGGAAAGGCGGCACAGTCAGCCTATTCTGTACAACCACCTCCCTCCCTGACACTGCAAATCCAATCCATCACAGACCAGGTGGCACTGATCTCCTGAAGACATCTCAAGTTCATCTGCCTCTCCCTCCCACACGTGTTATGCTCCTTGAGGTCTGGGACTGCCTACTTTTGTTCATTACTACAACCTTAGTACCTGGTCCGGCGCCTGGCACGTGCTAGATACTCAGTCAATATGCATTGGCCGTTTTTTACAAATGCTAAAACTCAGGCTCACAAAGAGAAGTGACTTGTCCAGTGCCTCCCGGTTGGTACAACCAGGGCTTACTCCAAGGGCAGCACCCTTTCTCGCCGCTGCTCTGAGAGGCCACGGGACCGGCCATGCCTTACCTGAGAGCACCGTGAAGACAGCCGCGAAGGCATTGAGCTTGAGCCCGTCGATGACATTGCTGGAGTGGAAGAGCTCGAGACACATGAGGCTGAAGCCAACCACCAGTAGCAGAATGTACAGCACCTCGGAGACCACAGACAGCCACAGGACCCCTGTCCAACAGAGGCAGAGAGGCCGTGAGACGAGGGGCAACCCAAGATGGCTCACCCTGTGCCTATTCCTCCCACACCAGCGGAGGGTAGCAAGTCATTTTAGAATAGACCCTGGTTCTGGGGGATGTCCTGATTGATGACGGAAGACTGTCTTGGCCGTCCCATCCTGGTCTGCAGGGGCCGGCTTAGGGACCCAAGCTTAAGTCAGCATTCTCTGGATGCCCATTACTGGGGAAGAACTTTTATCCTGTGGCTGGACCAGGGGCTCCCTTTCTTTCTCATGGGTTAGATGATCACCACTGAGAGCCAGCTTGCGGCTATGAAGCCACCAGTTTAGGGTGAAGCTGACACTGTAGATGCAGATAAGAGTGATGGAATGATGGCTTCATCAGACCAACCACCAGCCCTGGGAGCTGCCCTGTTCTGGGCTTCATGAGATACACTGCTGTACTGTTAGGCCAGTTAGTGTGAGGTTCTGTGTTACTTCCAACTATACATTTTGTTTTGTTCTTGTTTGTTTGTTTGTTTTTGTGGTGGTTTTTTTGAGAAAGGGTGTCACTCTGTCACCCAGGCTGAAGTGCAGTGGTGCGATCACGGTTCACTGCAGCCTCAAACTCCTGGGCTCAAGCCACCCTGCCACCTCAGCCTCCCAAGTAGATGGAAATATGGAAGTGCGCCACCACACCCAGCTAATTTTTTTATTTTTTGTAGAGATGCGGTCTTGCCACATGCCGTTCTCAAACTCCTGGGCTCAAGCTATTTGCCTGCCTAGCTTCCCTAAGTACTGGGATTACGAGCCAGCACACCTGGCCACCTGCAGCTCTAAGTATGCCACCTCACACACACAGCAGGCTTGCCCTCAAGGGACACCTACACTTTTATCTGCCCTGCATCCTACCCCACATTTTTTCTAGAACCCACTATTGCTACTCCCACGTGGTTCTCCCAGTTAGCCCTATTCTGGTGGGGTCCTGCCCTCCTGGCATAGCTAATTGGTCCAGTATGATAATCTGACTTATAATTGACCAATCAAAGTCTTCTTCTAGGTATCTGCACTTAGATCCACTGAAGTAGACCAGGAAAGAGCAGTTCGGATGGGAGTCTGAGCATTCTGACCACGTGAGCACCTGGTTCCAGCTGTTCCTGAAGGCCACCTGCACGCCTGTCCTTCCAGTAGTTTGGCAGTTCAAACTTTCTTTGTATTCCCTGAGATAGCACAGCTCCCTTTCCCTACAAGGTCCAAATTGGATTACCATCATTTGCCATCTGGTTTAGGGGGCATCTGCTGTTTTTCCTACCCATGTTGTAATGATTCCTGCATGCTTTTTACCAGGAGAGCCTCTTTCTTCTCTGTCTGCGTAGTTCCTTTGCAGCTGACCCACATCTGGGCTCCATGCTGGGACACATGACTCAGATCTAGCCAGTCAGAGTGCCGTGTCCCTCCAACTCCAGTCATTGGTTCAGGAGTGAACTTCTGTATGCCTCAGTTCCTTCATCTGTAAAATGGGGGTAATGGACAGGCGTGGTGGCTCATGCCTATAATCCCAGCACTTTGGCAGGCTGAAGCAGATGGATCACTTGAAGTCAGGAGTTCAAGACTAACCTGGTCAACATGGTAAAGCCCTATCTCTACTAAAAATATAAAAATTAGCCTGGCGTGGTGGCATGCACCTGTAATACCAGCTGCTTGGGAGGCTGAGGCAGGAGAATCGCTTGAACCTGGGAGGCGGAGGTTGCAGTGAGCCAAGATAGCACCACTGCACTCCAGCCAAGGTGACAGAGTGAGACTCTGTCTCGAAAAATAAAAAAATAAAATGGGGGTAATAACACCTGTCTTGCAGTGTTGTGGTGATATGAGCATTCAGTTGCACAGCAACGTAAGGAGCTTATGATTAGCACATAGTAAGAGCTCAAGTCATTTGTACTATTACAGTTTTTTTTAGAAGAACATAATGGGGATATATCCAATGGGGAATGGAAATACAGCCCAGGGGCTCTTGTCGAGGTCAAGGCTAGAGATAGAGTCAACAGGGAGAAATGAAATTGTGAGGGCACATATGATTTCTGAAAGCAAAAGTAGCGAATAGAAGATGGAACTAGGAACATCCCCATGGCTTGCCTTCCAGGTCACACTAGTCATGTGGTCCCCCAAGACCCACACTTTAGAGAAAGAACTACAGACCAGGCATGGGCAGTCAGACATGGACCCATGACCCAGTCTACTGAATAAGACTCAGCCTCAGGATTTTTGCAGGAACTACTGGGAAAGAGAAATTCGCCCTTCCTTCTTTCCTTCCTTCCTTCCTTCCTTTCTTTCTTCCTTCCTTCCTTCCTTCTTTCCTTCCTTCCTTCCTTCCTTCCTTCCTTCCTTCCTTCCTTCCTTCCTTCCTTCCTTCCTCCCTTCCTCCCTTCCTTTCTCTTTCTTTCTCTTTCTCTCTTTCTCTCTTTCTTTCTTTTTCTTTCTGAGACTGGGTCTCACCCTGTCACCCAGGCTGCAGCACAGTAATGTCATCATAGCTCACTGCAACCTCCACCTCCTGGGCTCAAGCGATCTTCCCACCTTAGCTTCCTGAGTAGCTGGGACTACAGACATGCACCACCATGCCCAGCTTATTTTTATATTTTTGTAGAGATGGGGTTTCACCATGTTGTGCCAGCAGGTCTCGAACTCCTAAGCTCAAGTGAACATCTTCCCTCGGCCTCCCAAAGTGGTGGGACTGCAGGCATGCACCACCACGCCCAGCTCTAGAAGCCTTTTATTTCTACCAGGTTTGAGGCTAGAAGGATGTAAAGATGGGATTGACTGAATCACCAGATGGCAACAGCCTTCCTGAGAGTGAACCCAGTGCCAAGGGAGGCAGAGCCAAGAGCTGGAGGAAGAGTGCGTCCTGATGACATTGTTTGAGCCCCCTGGATCCAGCCATGCCTGAAGCTGCCAGTCCTTTGTTCTTTCAATCACATGAACCAATTAATTCTTTGTCTTTGCCCATGCCAGTTCGAGGAGAATTTCCATCACAACCAGGAGTCCTTATCTTCAGCTTTTCTGTTCTCCGAAGCTGTCGAACATGTCCTTTTCTAGCTCTCTGCCTTTGCACAAGTTGTTCCTTCCACCTGGAATGTCCCAGGGACATCCAAGAAATACTATTTATCAAATAAAACAGATAAACAGTAAATTCTGAGTCCCTACCTGCTCCCTGACGAAGAACCCAGATGCTGAAACACCCACTATCACTCCTAGCACAACATTGCTTTTAGAGTCTCAGAGAACTTTTCTTCTTCCTCCCTTTTTTTCTTTTCTTTTATTTTTCCCCCCTACCAAAATATCACATCTCCTGGGCAATTCCTTGGATTTTTGTAAGAGAATAATGTGCTCTTGGCAGCCTGGATGCTGTTAAAACACCCCCTGGCACCGCACACTCACAGCCTCCGAGCCCTTCGCTGGCCCAAGGCCCACCAGGCAGCGGGGAGCAAAGCAGGAAATTCAGGGAGCGCTGAGCCTGCAGGAGGGTGGCTGACACCCAGGAGATTTCATCCCCAACCCAACAGTCTTTACCTCGGAGCTGCTGATGCTCCTCTCACTGGGTTTCCAGCCCCTGCTGGTTCTGGCAAGGACTGCTGCTCATCATGGCACTGCTCACTGACTCAGCTGCCTCCCCCGCGCAGCCCCCACACCACAGGGGGTGCGGTCAACCCTGCCCACGTGGGTCCCGGGCCAGGACGCTGCCCCCACACCTCCCCTCACAGCAGGGCCCAGCTCTGCTCTTTCAGAAGTGATGGGAGATAGGCCAGAGCTCGGAGGTGGCGATGCTCCGGAAGTAACTTAACCATGGGGAAACAGGCATGGGTACCCCGATGCCTGGCAGGGTTGTGGGTGCTTTATTTATTTATTTATTTATTTATGACAGACTGTCACTCTGTCACCCAGGCTGGAGTGCAGTGACACTACCTCGGCTCACTGCAACCTCCACCTCCCAGGTTCAAGTAATTCTCCTGCGTCAGCCTCCCGAGTAGCTGGGATTGCAGGCAACCGCCACCGTGCCCAGCTAATTTTTGTATTTTTGGTAGAGATTGGGTTTCACCATGTTGGTCAGGCTTGTCTCGAACTCCTGACCTCAAATGATCCACCCGCCTTGGCCTTCCAAAGTGCTGGGATTACAGGCCTGAGTTGCACCCGGCTGGATTGTGCTTAGACAGATAGATAGATATAGATATAGATATAGATATAGATATAGATATAGATATAGATATAGATATAGATATACAGATTTTTTTTTGAGATAGGATCTTGCCCTTTGTCCAGGCTGGAGTGCAGTGGCATGATCATAGCTCACTACAGCCACTAACTCCTGGGTTCCTGGGTTCAGGCCATCTTCCTGCCTCAGCCTCCATAGTAGTTGTGACTAAAGATAAGTGCCACCATGCCCAACTAATTTATTTATTTTTGTAGAGACAGGGTCTCACTATGTTGCTCAGGCTGGTCTCGAACTCTCAGCCTCAAGAGATCCTCCCGCCTCGGCCTCCCAAGGCCTCCCAGGTGTGCCTGGCCGAGTTGTGCTTTTCCAGCTAGATTGCTAGATTTATTTCCTTATCTTCTTACTGGGCTTGGGAGTATCTGTCTGCGAGTTTCAGCCCACTCCAGCCAAGGAAATTAATAACCATAATGATTGTTCTTGTTATAATTGTCACAATAAGGGCTGATAGTTATAAGGTCTTTATTATGCGCCAAGTCAAAAAGAAGGATGTTGGTGTCCCGCCCAGTCTCCTAGGCTCTCTTTTTAGAGTTTTTGTCTTTAGAGGATTGTCTTTGGGCAACCAGAGCCAAGTTTTTCTATCTTTGTTCAGAAAATGACGGGGAACTTACATTTCCCTCTTAGGTGCCATCAACACATGACTGACCAGCAGGGTCCTGTCCTGTGGCTCTGGCTAGGACAACGCTGAGCTGTGACCCACACTGCAAAGCCCCCGTGGGGTCAGACTGGACTGACACCATCCCTTGCTTT